TGGACGGTTTTATAAATTGCATATGTTACTACTTGTGGAGTGGCATGATTTAATACTTGTATAAAAAGTGATAAAGCTTATTGTACCTGTGTATTTGTTAATAAATTTATTTACATACAATGTTGTAAGATTTATCTTTGAAATTAAAAGAAGAAATATCTGATAATCATAAAAAAAAACAATTAAAATAAAATAATTTCAGCTAGTTGAAACACAACATTTCTTTCATTAAAAGGAGATATAATTTTCGTGACCTTTAACTTCTGACGTGTTTTCAGTTTTTACGTAAGTAACGTAATTTTTTTCATATTTCATTGCAAGCGTTACGCAACTGATTATATAACAAACGTTGAAATTCATTAAAAAAATTAAACGTCGTCATTATGCAAGGAAACAAATCTATATATTTTTTTAATAATAAATATAGTTTGAATAAAAGAGAAAATTTCTTTTGGGGACATTTATTTTCGTATACACACATTACAATAGATGCATCAATTATATCTAAACTTTAAATATCGTTTCCTTACTGTAGATTATGTTTATATTTTTAAGTTTAGTAGTTACCTTTATAAACAGATGTAAATCAATTATGTAATATTTTAAGTTAATTTACGAATTTAAGTTGACGGTTATTAATACATCTATTTTTTGTGTTGAACTAATAATTATTCAAAAATATTATATACTTTAATAACAAACGTAAACAGTAAAATAAAAAATCTTTTGAAAATAATACGATAACAAAATAAATTATTAAACTAGATTTTAAATATTAAATCTAATACTCTGTAATCCAAAAATTCGTATATATTGTAATATCTCCTAGAATATTTAATACTGCTATGGTTAAGCGTATACACATATTTGACATACTTAACACCGATAAAACATTAAAAGATAAAAATCTGCAATATGATAAAAATATAGATTTTAAACATATTTTTTACATATAACATTATGTTAGGAATAAAAATATGGTTGCATGGTTCACATGCAGATGCTATGGACTTGGACTGTTAATTTTAATGGAAACATTTATGTTGTGCCAATGACACTTACAATTCATCATTGGAATCTGATGATCCTGGATCCTCATCAATAACAAGTTCACGTGGTGATATGGATTCTGTTGGTGATTGTGCATGTTGTTGTTGTTCTTGACAATGTCCAGACGGCATATTTGGCTTGTTCAGAGCTAGACCTTCAACTAGTAAAGAATACTGTAATGCAGCTGACGTCCGTCCAGCAGTCTGTGGTTGTTCTACAACCTCTTCATTTTCATCCTCTGAAGATCCTTCCTCAGATGCAGATTCCTCAGATTTTTTTGGAGATGTTGGTGCAGATGTAGGTGGCTTAGTTTCACTGGGACCTGGCAACTGTTTACCAAATTTATTTGATGTAGGTGAACAAGATGATGAAGGATATTCACGACATTCATTAAATATTGGGTTTGAGCGAATTGCATATTGACCTTGATTTTGTACCTGATACTTTGGTTTAAATTGAACTTTATGTGGTAGCGCAGGACCAGGTCCTCTAAAAGGCATTCCAAAATTTGCAGGTGGTTGCAGTAGAGGTGGTGGTACGATAGCCTGCGATGTAGATGGTATTGGATATCGATAAGGTGTATGCTGGACTTGATCAGTATCCGTTGTTACAAACGGGCGTTTTCTTGGATTACATTGTGCAGGCATTCTTACATGTGTATCAGGAGGAGATTTATGTTCTATAGGAAGCGGAGCAGCAATTACAGCTATTTGTTCAATACTTCCTAACATCCTCAAAGCATATTCATCAGGTGTTACATTATTCAATACATGTTGTGGGTGAAATGTTGAACTACTGCTCTCTATTGCTTCTGAACTATTTATCAAATGTTTTGCACGAAGTATTTCAGTACAAATTGGTATTTCTGTAGGAGGTTCAAAAGTATTCACACTAAGTTCTGTAACATAAGGTGAAGGATTCATTCCACTTTGTAAAGGACCTAGTCCCAATTCTTTAGGAAATTGTGTAGCATGTTGTTGTGGTGTGAGTTTAAGACGATTTTCCAATGCCAACATTTTCAATAACTTAGCATTATATAATGCTATAAGATATGCATGCTCAACTTCAATGGTTTTTAAGTCTGGTAGATCCTTCTATAATTATTCATATGAATAAAGATATTGTATCTATTGAGACATAATAAGCACTTACATTGGCAGGAAAAATGTCCTTAAGAAATTTCTCATTTCTAGCAATAGAAATATCAAGTTCATTAATTCTTGTTTTAATTCTATCATGTTGCAATAAACTTTCCATATTATCCAAGTAAAAGAGTGTTACAATTATTCTCTCTCGAACATGAGAAAATAATAAGCTGATGAGAATATTAAACATTCCATATTCGCAATCTAGAGCAAAAGAGAATCATTTACATAAATAATGATGTCTGAATGATTTTCAAAATAGCTTACTTTCAATGTTTCCTCCTTCCATTTTTAATATATCCTGAAATTCACTAGATGCACCAATCAGTAGGGTCAGCACATTATCCACATAACTACGCTTATTGACCAATTGTGTCATGCAGTTTTCAAAATAAACTTTTCTCTGCATTAATTTGTACTGTATCAATTTCAATCTCTGCGATTCACCTATAAACAGATTTTAAATAACATTATATAGAAAATACTATTTTATTTACGTAAAGTGTTTGTCATCTCTAGAAGCTCACTGGTGATATTTAAATATAAGTCAATTGATGTATCCTCCATTGTAATGTTCTTTGACCAAAAACTGTATTGGGACTTAAGTGAAACTAATTGAATAATTTTGTAATGCAACATATCTGCGAATCTTCTACAAATATCACAATCATCTCTTTTACTTAGGAATCTGTGCATATTGTTGTAAAGAACATTTATGGCTGACAACAGTTTCTCCATTACTATAGCACTATTTACTAGACCATGGACTCTAGAATTGAAACTACTATCCATTGGTGTACGTGGCAAATGCATATCTGATAATTTCTTTGATATGCTCTCCTCTTCCAGTAAATCACTTTCCATGGCATCTAAAAATATTAATAATTTTAGTCTGAATATCAGTGATATATGAAATTTAACTGACCATTTCCCTTTGAAGACATATCATTCAGTATTTCACTTTCTATCTCCTCCATGTTATCCAAACTTGTTTTAACAATCAGTCTTTTATAAAACATATTATGGACTGGATATAGTGTAGACTTTGAATCAAATTTATGATTATCTTTTAGACATTTACCTATATCATTTAGTAGATTTAAATTCACTTTCATTTTATTGTTATCTGCTACCAATGTCTTATTTCTATTTTGTATCTTTCTGAAGTAAATCACATTTCTGTTCAATATGATGTTTGCCTTATTCAGAATCAGATGTAAGCTTTTGTTCTGTTTATACAAATATCCCTCCTCAGCAGTGAAACACTCATTGTTTTCTTTACAAAATTTACAATCTATTAAAACGGCCATTTTTAAATGATTCTCCATATTATCTATATGACATGATATTTTTTTCTTTATTGTTTCTATTTGTTTAAAATATATATCTAATATTTCAATTCGTCTATTTTCTAAAATCAAATACAAAATGTCAGTTGAAATTTAACATTGTATATTATATTAATACCACGTTCGTCGCCATTTTCTCTTTTAACAACTTTTGCAGTAGACGTGCCTTGTCCCGCTGAAACATTTTGCATTTTAATACAAAAATACTAAATATTAATATTGTATAACAAAACATATATCAAATTTGTAATTATTTGATATGTATACCTTGATTAGCCGTTTCTCCTTTATCTTCATGTGTGTTCACAGATTTACTTGGCTCTGCAAGTAAAAATAATTTTTAATTCTGTATATATTCATGAAATATAAACATTAACTTTTACGAATTAACATTGAATTTTAAGAATAAATTGTAGGTTTAGGTAAAATAACTGATTTTCTTAATCGTTACATTACAATTTACATCAGTTGGTACTACTGCAAAAATTCCCTGACGTAAATTTAGGGTATTTTTCAAGAAAGATCAAGAAAATTTTAACGTATTTCCTCCTTTCAACTATTAAATAATATAGATATTTGAATATTTAACTGAAATCCCAGATTACTTTTCAGAAAATATTATTTATTCAACAAGTTCTATTTGCATTATTGTCATGATAAATAGACAACTTGTAATATATGTTAAACCATGAATTGCATACCTTGAGAATTTTTTAATGTTACTTTTGCTAATTGTTGGGCTTGAATAAACATTCTTCTTAGAGTATCAAGTTCATGCTTGTAAAACTTATCATACACCTTTATGTTGGATTTATAAATATACTTCGCCTTATATACTTCTTTATTAACGATAGAATATAACGTGCTCTTAATGTGTCTAATGTGGTCGAATAGTTCCATATTTCTTTTCCTCTGTTCCTCTAATTGATCCTTCATCTTTATGTTTTCGGACTGTAACTGTCTTGAATTCTCCTCATGTACCTCGATTTTCTTCAATAAATGTTGAATTTGTAGAATATGCCCTTTACATTCACTGTTTACGTATACGTCTTCACTTGGCGAAAAGTCTGAAAGTTGTAGAACAAGTGGAGTGTTAAATTAGATAAACGCAAATTAAAAATACTTACCAATGTCATATAGTTCATATGACTGAACATATTGACTAGTTGAACATTCAGCTTCTGAACCATAATCAGTTCTAGGTGTATCAATATATTTAAATTCTATAAAATAAATGGAAAAAACAACATATTAAATTTTGTATGTTCAATATAGTAAAGAACTAATTTAATAAAATGCTTACCTATACCAGAAATTTCAGGATCTTCATTTGGAGCAGATACTCCGGCAACTGTTTGATTCAAAATTGATTAAGAAGGTGCCACACAGTTAAACCAGATACCTTTCAGTCTTAATAAAAAAAAACTGCTTACCATACTCAAATTCATTCTCAATTTGCTGTTCAGTTGGTGGATCCTTATTCTGATCACTCAGAAGTTCTTGTAAATCAAAGTCCATTTGATTTTCGGGATCAAGAGGATATATGCCCCTTAGTTTATTCAGATACACTTGTAGTATATGCTCTTCTTTACAAATCTTGATGAATTGTTCATTGTCATATAGAGCAGCATCATTGTTAATTTTAGTTGGTAGTAAATTATCAGGTAAATAAGCCACAAGGGATGTACCAATCTGTAATTTAAAAAAAAGAAATTAGTATAGTATACAATTGAGTTATAGATGAATAAACAACAAAAACAGTATAACATATAATTAACAGTTTAATCATACCTTATCGTTTTTGTGAGAAATAAAAAAGCTGGATATTTCATGAGTTTGATCATTTGTAATAAGCAATCCAATTGAATTCAATTGTCTGTAGTATTGAGGAGGAATTTCAGTGATATACACTCTTTGACTCACATCAAGTCCTATAAATTGAAATAAGAAAGACTTATAATGTAAATATAAAAGGTTATCTCAAATAAATATTACTTGTTACAAAGTCTTTTTCATCATAATCAGAATCTTCATCTTCCATGTCGTCATAATCACATTCGCGACTTGCTTCATTTACTTTAAACTGTAAATATAAAATCGTTTAGAATGCACCAATAGATGTAGACATATATATATATGTATATACCTTTTTTAACAAAATACCTGACAACTGATTACTGTAGTCAGAAACTCTCACATTTTTGAATTCTGGGTCCTTAATTAATTTGATTTTCCTAAAATATGATTATAATAATACTTCAAACTGATTGTTAAAATTTGCATAATACTTGATTGTATAAAGTGAATTTTTGGCATCTGTTGGTGATAATGTTCCAATAAATAATGATTTTCCAAAATCGCCCACTGCTTTGGAAAGTACACTACTTAGCAACATCTTGTCCACATCAATTTGAGTGTCATTAATACTAAGTGCGTGCAGATAAGTAAATAGTAATGATAACGTACTAAAATATGAGACATTTTGAGTAAAAGTTACGAGTATATAAGGAGAATACTAACAAGTGGTTATGATCCTTGTCCGTATCTTTGCCTGTTGGGTCAGCCAATATGACAAAATTAAATTGAGAATCAAATGATTTGTTCTCATTAGGTATATTGTATTGGAGATTGAACGAAAGTATAACATGGTTGTGAGATTTATACATAAATCTACCTCTCTCCAATAAATCCTTTAAATCATTCGTAAATTGTAGGCCTTTTTTTGCACATGCTTTAGATACAACATCTTGTAAGTCCAAAAGTTTATCATCTTCTGCGACCTCCACAAATGCAACTTTCAATGTATATTCTATATCTTCATTCAATGAAATGTGAGACGTAACTTCATTTAACATCAAGTAAACTATTCCTACATCAAGGCAAGTTCCGTAAAGTGTATGATTCTTTCCAGAATTCTGTTGACCATAAACAAATACTGTGCCATTTGTGCCATGTATAAAGGATTCCACCATTGGCTTAACAGTTTCATACACTTTTTTATTATCATCAGTATCAATAAACAGATGATCTGATAGTAAACATAAAAGGAAATATGCATTAGTTACTAACATATTATGAAGCTTTGGCAAACTACAGAATTAAAGACTAACTCACCATAAAGCACCTTCTCTGCATATTTACAACGTTCCACTTCAGTAAATACATTACCATTATAAATATATATTGATGGTTTATGTTCTTTAAGAACTGCGTTGTTTACTAGAGGACGCAACCTCATTGCTACTATCATTTTGTTCGGCATATTTGTAAGTTGTTAGTACACTAGTCTTCAACACTGTGATACACCATTAATTATATTTTAATCATTTCAAAATTTTCCTTATGTGTTTGCTAGCCGGTGATTTTCTTCAATTTGCATAATGGCGGCAACAGGACAAGGTGTATGAGGGTGGAGATTGACCAAAGCAGCGTTGCCACAGTTTCTTTCACTTTTGTCAAATATTTGAAAAGACAAATAATATTACTAGAATAAGAGAGAAATGCGAAATAAGAATTAATAAACCTTTTAACAATTATAAATATTTGTTTTCAACTCTAAGGAATAAATAAATATATTTTTAAACTAAAAAACTAATTATTTCCAAATAAAATTTCAATTCAGATTTTGATAACAAACATCTTTGCTAGTGAAATAATTGTTTTGTGCATGATACTAATATGATTAAAGTATAATTATTGTTTGAAAATTCTTTTTACTTAACTCTTTTGTGTTTATTTACAAGTATATTTTGTTTACTTATATCAAAAAATGTGTTTATTTACCATTGAGTATGTGTGTCATGATAAAGGGGTGTAATATTTAGAATATTAGAAAAATTGTGTAATTTTAATTTTAGAACAAAGGCAACATTGCCTGGGAATATAGGGACCTGAGCGCAATCGCAGGCGCCCTTTGCTCGAGCTCCACCCTGTGACAACTGCAAAAAATGAATAATTTTATTGATTTTTTACTATTTTTGTAATAAATTTAAACAATTTAATTCCAACATCATTCTATTCCATTTAATTATATCAGTCCTTTCAAATTTTTTAACAATTAGTAAAAATAAATGAATTGTCCCCTTCTTATTGTATTTGCTGCAAAGTTGGTACACATGTAGGGTATAAAAATTTGAATTGATCAATCAGGGTACGACAAAATTGGTATTTGTTTTTTTAGGATATATTCGGATATCTTTACTTTCCGATGATAAACCTTTTTATGAATATTCAAATCTTTTGTCCTTCTAAGTACATTTGTAGTTTCGTCTTTGTGAAGACCACATGTAAGTAATATATCTACAATTATTCTTTATATATATATAAAATACAATGAATGTATATTAGGATGGTGTATGGTTGTTGCGTCCAAGGGTGCAATTAATTACTATATAATAGTATTCGTAAATAAAAACATTTTTATATTTATATGAGCCGTTATTTTATAAGTGGTATAAATCCATTTGGATCCATTTATTTTCTTTAAAATATTTAATAATTATTATAGCCTGGAAAAAGTAGTCAACGCTTATTGTAAGTTAATTATTCAACTTTTGCTGTACTTATAAAAGTAAAAAAGTGCGGAAAAGACAGAATTCTGTGTGTTTTTTTTTTCGATTTCAATGGTAAAAACTTGTGAATTGACGGATTTTGTTAATATCGAGATTAATTTTTTTATTCATTGTTTTTTGCAGTTGTTGATGTGGTTGTGGTGCTAAACTGTCTCGTTCATTAGTGAAAAAGGAGTCTCAACATGTCCTTTGCGCGTATAAAGTAAGTGGAATTATTTGAATATGTATGTTTTATATTAAATTGACTACTTGCAGGCCATTTAAAAAACTTGAGTTGGATTGTTAAAGAATTTATCAAACATAAACTGTTTGCTGGCAATTGAACTATTATATTGTTTCTATGGATCTCCAGGCATTGCTGTGCTAATATGTCAGCTACATTCATTAATAAGGAGTCCCAACACATCCAAACCTTTGCGCGCCTAACGTAAGTGGAATTATCTGAATATGTATGTCTAATATTTAATGGACTACTTGCAGATCATTTAATAAACGTGGAGTTGGAGTGTCGGGACACTCCAACTCAAATTTATAAAATAGACTGCAAGTAGTCAGTATTATATAAGACATGGATATCCAAATAATCCCACTAACTTTAAGCGTGCGAAAGTTTGGATATGTTGAGACTCCTTTTTAATTAAAGTAACTAACATTATGACACACTAATGCCTGGACATCAATGGGAACAATTTTTTTTATCAGATTTGCTGACTATCTTCTCTGAATAATCTATGCTCAATTCAGCAAGGTGCTTTTCGATCAGTTGTGAAGGGACAAACTGTGGAATAAGAAAAACGTAAAGGTCATAGGAAATCAGACATGAAGGACATGCATACATGTATTATGGAGTCATTGCAAAGAGTTGGTTGATACATATTTCAATCAGTTGGCTTATGATAAGCCGACGAGAGATACACCATTGAGGAAGGAAACTAATGTGTCCAAGAATATTATGGAGATATCCTCCTCAGTATTATCATGATTCCATAATTGTAATTGATGGTGGTATCATTGAAATAGATACCTAAGTGTGTGCAGAGTATAGACTAAAGTAAATGTTTTACTCCTAACATAGATTCACCTCATCTTGAAGAATGCTCGTCATATATTGTTTGCTGTGTTATGTGTTAATATGTTTTATCTATTTCAATAAATAATTCCAATTAACATTTCAAACATCTAATACTCAATTCCCAACTTAATTTAATTGAAAATATTTGCTTAATTGAAACTCTAGTTTCAAGTCCCCAATGTTGTGAACGAACACAACGTGCTTGAAATTGATGGAAATGGGTTTTTACGAATGGTTCCGAATTCATCCGATTCTTCTTCTTATGCTCCCCCAAACCCAGAAAAAATAGCCAAATGTTTCTACCAACCTAAGGGAAGGAAAATAAAAGTGTCAGAATCCTGTTAAAAACCCCCCTGGTACCCCGGTTCATTCAAGCAAGCAAAATAAAAGTGCGAGAGTTTGCTGTTAAACCTCCCTGTGATCCATATTGATATTGTCTGTTCACTATGGCTCACTTACCAATTTCCAGAACTAGAACTATTATGAAAACAATTGATGGCGCGGATAATGTTAATAAAGATGCTCTGTTTCTTACAACTAGAGCTGCAGTAAGTTTTCTTTTAGTTTGAATAATATTTAAAATAGTGATATTCAATTGTTTGTAGGAATTATTTATAAAGGAGATTGCGTCCGCCGCTTGCAATACGGATAACGAACTAACGTATGATAATTTAGTGGATATTGTACAAAGCACTGATAGATATGAGTTTCTCAGGCAGATGATTCCTAGGAAAATTACAGTGAGGGAGTTTAAAGCTTTAATGGATAGGAAAAATGATGAAACGGACAATCTTGAAGAAGATTCTAGTTTTTCTTCAAATAAAAGTGATGATAGTAAAGACCAATAACATATTTTAGTATTAAATGATCTGGAGATAATATAACCTAAAAATGAAATATTTTGTAAACAAACAAAAATAATCACATTGTAGACTGTTATTTTATGTTTATTGTCTTACTTATTTATAATTTATAAAGTATTTCGATTATTATTCTGAAGTTTGTAAACAAATCATCCCCACCTATTCCAAACACGCGCAAATAATTCCACACGCACGCATTTATATTATAAAGATTCAAGCACAAGTCAGCTCAAGTATTGACCTAATATAAAGTAAATTCATTGATAAGCAGTAACCAAAATATATTTTCGGTAATAAAAAACAAAACAAGTCGCAATCACAGACTTTGACTTATTTTTAACTCCACCTGTTTTTATGATCAAAGTCCAAAGTTCACAAGTCGTTTGTGTGTAGCGTCGAGCTTAACTGTGCCATTATTTGTCGATCATTGGCGCATAGAAGTTGTTCAAAATTAGTGAATCCGAAACTCGTCGTTAAAATGATTCGTAGTGCAAAGATCATTCTGCAATCTAGCAGGACCCAAAATGCCCTACTTAAGAGGTAAACTTAACCTTCAATTATTGTACTTAATCTAAGTATTATTCGATTTTAGATTTGTTAGTGCATCACCTGTGCATTGCAAAACTGTAACAAACAATGAAAAGCAAGGCTCTGCGCCCACAGAGGATTTGTCTTTTACAATGAATTTATTTAGGGGTCAAGTTCAGGGTAAGGAAGTATTCCCATATCCAAATGTGTTAACTGAAGAAACTAAAGAGACTGCCCAGATGCTTGTTGACCCAATAACAAAATTCTTTGAGGTGAACTTTGTTTTTAATTTATTTTATTATTATGCTTGTGTGCAATCTTTGAACTTGTAAATACTGATAAGCCAATTTATAGGAAGTTAATGATGCCGCTAAAAATGATTCGAATGAGAAAGTTGATGATAAATCATTGGAAGGACTCTGGGATATGTGTGCATTTGGGCTTCAAGTACCACAGGATCTGGGTGGTTTAGGACTGACAAACACACAGTATGCTAGAATGGTTGAAATTGTTGGTAGTTATGATTTAGGGGTGGGCATCACATTAGGAGCACATCAGTCTATTGGATTCAAAGGCATTTTACTTTATGGTAATCCTGCTCAGAAACAAAAATATCTACCCCGAGTTACAACTGGAAAAGAATATGCTGCATTCTGCTTAACAGAACCATCATCTGGTTCAGATGCTGGTTCGATTAGAACAAAAGCCGTTTTGTCACCGGATGGAAAACATTACATTATGAACGGTTCAAAAATTTGGATCAGTAATGGTGGAATCGCAGATATTATGACTGTATTCGCTCAAACGCCAGTCACCGATCCAAAAACGGGAAAAACGAAAGATAAAGTAACTGCCTTTATTGTTGAACGTTCATTCGGTGGAGTCACTAATGGCGCTCCAGAAAAAAAAATGGGTATCAAAGCATCCAATACGGCTGAGGTAAAATTATTCTTTACAATTACACAAATGAGTTATTGACTGTTGCAATTCAGCTCATTTTTTCTATATTAAACATAAATTACTTATATATTCGTTTAAGGTTTACTATGAAGATGTTAAAATTCCCATTGAGAACGTGCTGGGTGGCGTCGGAAATGGCTTCAAGGTAGCCATGAACATTTTGAATAATGGTAGATTTGGTATGGCGGCTGCTCTCTCCGGTACAATGAGAGCTTGCACAAAAAAAGCCGTCGAATTTGCGACGTCTCGTGTTCAGTTTGGAAAGAAGATTGATACCTACGGTGGAATTCAAGAAAAGTTGGCACGTATGTCAATGTTGCACTACGTCACAGAATCTCTGGCTTATATGATTTCTGGAAACATGGACAAAGGTTCCCAGCATTACCATTTAGAAGCAGCTATTTCTAAGGTATTCGCATCGGAAGCTGCTTGGTACGTGTGCGATGAATCAATTCAGATCATGGGAGGCATGGGTTTCATGAAAGATACTGGTCTAGAACGTGTGTTAAGAGATTTGAGAATTTTCAGAATTTTTGAAGGAACCAATGACATTTTGAGATTGTTCGTTGCATTAACTGGTAAGATTAACGACATATAAAGCTTATCCAAGAAGAACTAAGACATCTTATCTTAGGTATCCAATACGCCGGTGCTCATTTGAAGGAACTCCAGAATGCCTTCAAAAACCCAACCGCTAATTTGGGGTTGATCTTTGAAGAAGCATCGAAACGCGTCGTCAGAACTGTCGGATTAAGCTCTCCGCCTTCCATGGATTATTTGGTTCACAAGGATCTGACGCCATCCGCTTCATTGGTATCTAAGGGTATTGATACTTTTGGACAATCCGTGGAGAGCGTATTGATCAAATACGGCAAGAATATCGTTGATGAGCAATATATCTTGAACAGACTTGCAAATGCTGCTATCGATATATACACCAGCGCCGTTGTTATTTCTAGGGCCAGCAAATCTTTGAACGAAAACATTTCCACAGCTCAACATGAAAAGTTGATGGCAGAAGCTTGGTGTCTAGAGGTATAATATTACCTTACATATTAATACAATTTACTGAAATAATTGATTTCATTTGCAGGCTTCTGAAAGGGTGACACAAAATCTGAAAACTATCTCTTCTGGAAAGAATTTAGATAATTTCACCAAACTCAGTACAATTGCCAAAACTGTATGCGAAAACGGCGGCACAGTGCAGTTGAATCCACTAGGATTTTAAATATAATTTATTTCTTTTTTTTTATATAAATCAAATATCCATGAGCATCGTCATTGGATGGTGCGTTTTTATATTTATGCAATTGCAAAATTTTATACAATTTAGAATTAATTAAAATCGATTATTTTGACGCATATTTTCTTTATTTATAATGCTATACCATTTATAGAATCAGTCAATCACATTTAATTCACAATATGTTACATAGATCAAAAATGTGCATTTTTTTTTACATTAGAGCATCAACATATTTCCTATTCAGACACAGATGTTACAAGATGACGACTACATGTATAGATACAGATGAACTTTGAAAAGTTTGACTTGATATAGAAACGTACATAATTTCTTAATAGCATTCATCCTCATTTGTGGTATTATATTTGATTAGAAGATTATTAAAAAATACTGAGTTTTTTTTTCGTATTTGCATCGGAGAATATTTGTAATGTAATAATCTTGATTATGTAAAATATGCGGGGAGAATAAATATGTAAAACCACATTGAATCTAATAAAAAAATATAACGTAATATACGCGACTAAGACATCCTACAACGTCTAATTTCTATTCTATACCATTTAGGTCATTATTATTTTTTTCGTTGAATATAAAGAGATGGAATGTATAGTCAGCGCTCATTAAAAAAATTTAACGTACGTTCGATAATACGTACATTAATATACAAATACTCGTTTGAACATAGAATTTAAGTCGCCAACTGTACACGTTCATACTTTGAATTTGACTTATTCAAGTTTGATTGTTTCTAAATCTAAAATAGAAATATGTAGCTCGTTTATAAATTGAGTTCGAGAATTCCCACAGTACGGTAAAGATTACATCCGTATAAAAGTAGTACGTTCGTGTGAATTCATCTTCTCATTAAAGTACACTCGCTTAACTTACAGACACTTGGGAAATCATTATGCATGTTAACCGAGCACTGGCTATGTATATATGTATATAAATATGGTTTTCTAACTATAACGTTAGATATCATGAACGAAGTCAATTTGAATTATACATTTAGATTATGTAAAGCAATTGCATAATAGACATATAATTACTTTACTTAATCTAAACATTTTATGCATATATAAAATATCACAAAGAAACTAATACGATAGTAGTAAATATATACAGTATAAATTATCACAAATAATATTATGTTATGTTTATCCCTTAAGCAGCATATTTAGAAAATATGTTTTTCTTAAATTCCATATACTTCCAAGATATATATTATATAAACATAATTAGTCTGATTCCTCGCTGCTGGATTGCTGCATAGAAGAGAACCATTTTTCCCTGTTCGTTGGATTTGGATACGATGTTCTAAAAGTAATAGAGTTACAAATAATAGAGTAGGTTCAGTTGAGTTTTTTTTACGTGGACCGGTAATAATATTCTCAAAAAAAAACTATTATACAAGTTTTTCTTGGACCAATTATCGATGTTTAAGAAACGCTGTTATAGAATAAATTGTTAAATTAATAAATGATAAAATATATTTTAGTAGTAAATAACATATATAAACTGTATTAAATAGAGAATAACTTACCTCTGCTTTTTAGTATTACTTGGTAATGTAAGGGAGGTACGGTAGCATTTGTCGTAAGCAGTATCGGGTGGTCTTCTTTGAAGTGACATGGTTTCATTCATCGCATCTATCTCATCGTCGGGCATCGTCGAGATAACAGACTTGCAATTCTCGCACTCGCTTCTATAACTTTAATGTTCAATTGTACCATTTGGGATGAATTTGGACGACGTATGTTTACCTGTAGTCCTCCTCATCCTGCGACAAGGACTGATACGAAATGAGATTCTTCTGATCCCGTAACTTTCCCAGATCAGGACTTATCGTCTGTACATTAGATGACATCACGTTTATTGAGTTCTCAAGTGATTCCAGCTTTATCGAGTCGTGCTTCTCCACATTGATCAGCAGATCTCTGAGATTCTTTGGTAGTGTTCGGTGCAGTATTTTCTTCTGATCGGAACGCTTCTCAGACTGGTGATCAACAGGCCGAACCTTATATTGGACAGCATTGGATTTATCGTAATTGATCTTACTTGTGTTTGCACTCTCTCTGCTTCGCGATTTGTGATATGCATGTTTAATGAATCCCGAACTCGTCGGCCGGTTGATCTCATTTATTGCTGCTTTCAAAACCTTTATGTTCTCGTAAGAAGCTTCAGCAGTTTCTCTCCGTTCAATCTTCTTGTTTACTTCAGTTTTTGGATTTTGCACTCGAATGTTTACGTACTGGTGCGTATTGCTGGATATATTTGGAATGCTCGTTGACTCCTCGTGGCGGCACACAACCATGGGGTTTATCTCTTGAGGATATGAAGCCGAGAATGTGCTTATTAAATTGCTAGCACTGTTATTTATCTGATTGGTTACAATTTCATTCTGGGTAGTTCTCATAGCTTCTTCGTATGGGGGAGGAGCTTCGCCGCTAGGAAAGTAATTTCCTGGCGGCTTCCACAACGAGAAATTGGTATTTGTCTCCTCATATCTGATTTCAAGTTCATTATTGTTAGTTCCCAAATAACTAAAATAATAAAAATATCATTCCAAAGATTAAGACTCAATACTAATATTAAGAAATTCATTTAAAAAAGGATTTTTTCCATTCGGGTTATAATATTGAATATCACAAAGGATTGACTACAACAAATAGCTTACCCCAGATTATGTTGGGTATAACCAAAATTTCCTGCAATGTATCCAACATTGCTTAGAGTTCTCTGATCCTCACGCTGATGATTGTGATGTGCTAGAATGTTGTTTCTCTTTAGACGCTGGTACAAAAAGAACAGGACTGCTATTGTTAAGACTGCTGTGACTGTACTAGCTATAAATCTTATTGCAACATCATATGTTTCTTTGTAAGACTCATGTCCTGAGAGTATGTCATCTAAACATTTGAATTCACAACAGGAACTTCCCACTTCGAATGATTTGCAGTTCTAATTAAATACAATAGTTATTTGGTTATTAAACAATATAAGGTTGGTTGTTACTTGTGGGGGTGAACACAAAACTGATTTACACCACTTAGGACTGCCTTTGTCACAAATGCACAGTGTGCAAGGATTTGTTCCTGGGACATAATGGAGACCTTGTGATACGATGTGGGAATGTATATCAATGCAATGGCCATGGACATCTTCAATACAAGTAAACAAACATGTATGTTTAAAAGGCTTATGGGAAGATTTAAAGTGCATGCAGACTGAATAAAATTATAGCTTACAATAAACGTTTAGGAATGTCGTTGCACACACAAGTAGGCTTCTTAATTTCATTGTATTCGTTTAAATACCCTGCATTTTAAACATATTGACACATAATCCACAACGATTTAATTAGACCTTAGTTATTGATCATTTCTTAATTTCGCCATATCTCTCATGAAGTTTGCAAACACACAGTGCTGCGACCTACATGGCACTTCACGTAAACAAGCCGCACAATACTATCAATTGTTTCAAGTCCAGCTACTTATCACTGTTACGTAATATTGCTGATAAGATTATCCACTTTGTAAACGTAAAATGCATCCCAATGCAACGTATATGATCAAGTCAGCTCAGGTCTCAGGTTTCAGATCATAATATATTTGTAGTGCCTACGTCAACATATCTACAGATAGATGGCTCTCGGAATGTAATTTTTCAAATTCCATAAGTGTATTTAAAACTTATATTCAACATACGATATAAGAGTTATAGCGGTGAAAGATGTTGATGCTTGTTATAACGAATGATATTGTTATGCTCTGAATATATAGTGAAAAAGTAATAGAGATCTACCATAAATACTTAATAATCTTGATATTAATTTTCGCATATGAGGAGGGCTGTATACTGCTATGTATACGGCTATCTTACACAGTAAGGATTGATCACACATACAGTTTTTTGGAAGTTACACAAAATATTCACATTTTGAAACTATAATAGATTGAATGAATCCAAAAGATGCATATGAAAGCTAGATGTTTGGAGAACGTAGAGATTATTACATACATTGCTGTGATTTCATCCATTTGGATATAATTCGGGTTCAAAACTTGAAAAATTAACGCTCGAAATAGCAATGTTTTTACATTATTGTGATTTTCTCGGAAACTATAATATTTGGATACAAAAGAAGTAGCAAGTATTCATACTGTACTACAGTACTTCTAAACCTTATAGATTATGTTTCATATAATAAGTATTTTTGTAAAAAAAAATGTATAACACGTTATCTTTTATGTTATTAAGATTCATAAAATATTTTGGTAAAAGTCATCAAATGTTTTGAAATATAATACGTAAACCGATTTACCCATGATTCAAATTTACATATAATAATTGATTTAAAGCTTATATAGATTTTTAAAACATTTATTAATAATTGTGAACATTACTTAGAAAGTTATTAATTGCGCGCTTTATATCTTTGAACTGGGTCGAAGATAGCGGTAGTCGACAGCTGGCAACAAACGTTCACTGTATCATCCTGTAAACATATTGTTTATATCTTTGACAGCTAACCTCACCTTACCTGCTGAAAAGCTGAAAAGTATAAAGACGCTACTTCTATTATACCGATTTCCGCTAGTAAAAACTATCTACATCCCCAATAATTAGCAATGGCTTCGTCTTTTGAAACTGCAGACAGGTGCAGGTTCTGAATATGAGTGATCTGACTATTGTCATAATTAATCATCTATTTAAACATTTTTTCAGCTGGTATTTTGGTGCTCTGACTAGACAAGAGGCCACTGATATTTTACAAGCAGAACGCGAGAGTGGGGTCTTTCTTATTAGAGATAGTGCAACTTGTATTGGGGACTATGTACTCTGTGTTAAGTGAGTCTTTCATGCATGCATTGTTATTTCAATTCAATTAGTTTCTTGTTACAATTAGGGAAGACAACAAAGTTAGTCATTATATAATAAATAGAACTCAACAGAATGAAGAGGTCAAGTACAGAATTGGAGATCAGCTGTTCATTGATTTACCCAGTTTGCTTGCTTTTTACAAACTTCATTACTTGGACACTGCACCACTTATTCGGCCTGCAACAAAGAAGCTTGACAAAGTCATAGCAAAGTTTGATTTTGATGGAAAAGTAATTAGAATTCTGCAGACAATAATAAATTGCTTTTTCAATTATTATTTGTTATTAGGACAATGATGATCTTCCATTCAGGAAAGGTGACATACTCACAATTTTGACAAAAGATGAAGAGCAGTGGTGGACAGCTATGAACAGTGTTGGTGTGAGTGGATCAATTCCAGTTCCATATGTTCAAAAGGTAAATAATTTGAAATAATTACTACATACTAAAAAAAAATTCATTTAAGATTGATGATGGCCAACAGTTGATGGACTTAGGCTCAACATCTTTTGCATCAGCTTTCAGTAATGACATTTCTCTGAAGAAATATCAAACACAACAGGTAGCATGATGTTTTAACTGCAATTGGTATCTTTTTTTTTAAATATATACTTTTTTTCAGAGAAAATTGCCAGCCAGGGCTAGAGTAAAGCAAATGAGAGTCCCCAATGCTTATGACCAAACTGCATTGAAACTTGAAATTGGTGACATAATTGTTGTAACTAAGACAAATATCAATGGACAGTGGGAAGGAGAATTGAATGGTAAGACAGGACATTTTCCATTCACTCACGTTGAATTCCTGGAAGAGGAGGGTTAATTTTTCAAAGGTATTAAGCAGATACTTAACGAAATGTTTCTATAAAGAGCTTAATATGTTTGTAATCAAAAAAACACATAGATTGCATGTGTAAACTTATTGTTTCTTGCTTTCTCTAAGTGTATTTTTGTGCAATCAAACGTTACTTAGCGTTGTTAATGATCAATGTTTTAAGAGTAGCGTGCTGCGACATGACTTCCTAAGTTATATCGATAGGAATCAGTTAAAGAAAGTAGACAATTCTGTTGATTTTTATATGTAATTTATGAACTCGATGTTGTTCCATTCTCGGGTTTTGTCATACTGTTAACAAATGTTGACATGATTATGGAACCAACCGTAGCCAATTAATTAAGTGGTGGGCCGATAAACACCAACTGGAAGACAACTAAGCCAAAAAAAACAATAATTAAATGATATATAAGATGTCGATAAAAATATTTTATATACAATTATATTCTTAAAAAATGAATTTAACAGAAGAAATGATTGTTATTTAACAACTTTAAACGATAATTAATCTGTTGCTGCTGTAATGGTGAACTACAGAAAATACAAAAATAAATTTATAAAAAATATTTTTATGAGGTATATTGTATACATGAAATTATGTAAAAAATGAGAGGGGCTTTAAATATTTGTAAGTTATAACGTGAAGGAAATGAAAATGGTGTCGATATTTTAATTGCTGGATTAAAAATTCTATATTGCATATCAATATTATTATGTAGTTGTTTTGCAAATGACAACTAAAAAGAACCCTTAAGTATTAGGCAATTTCGTGATTAATATAAACAACAATATTAATCAACTTTATCTTGGATAAGATAATTTGAGAAGGTTGCCTAGGTAAAATGTGTTTACCTTGCGTTTATTAAATGGTAATTTAATGGCGAAATTGTCTCAGTTTAGACACGTGCTAAGTGTCTAACAGGTGGTGAAAACCTCTAAGAAGTATCAAGAAGAAATGGAAATTTCAATATATACAACAATATATTTATAATGGAAATTGTGTATTGAGGTCCAAGTTATGTTTTAAAAATTATTAGGACTGATATTTATTGTAACAGTTATATATAAACAAATCAACTGTTACAAAGGGCTATTGACAATAGATTTGTCCATCCGCCCTATTACGTAAATATTATTTGTTAAATGTTTGAATATAACAAAAAAAAATGGATATTAAGAATGTTGAATTATTTTACAAAATTTATTGAAAGCGCAAAATATTATATTTGAAATTCTCTTTTTGTTTTATGTCTGTGTTATTGTTATGACTTTTTAATTTTATTTGTAAAATAAAGACTTCATATTGGACCAGAATGTAATAATAATAAATATCGTTCATTTAATTCTCCCATCAATATTTGCAAACACACTTTTTTTTTAGTTGCTAAGAATGTATGTAATTATATAAAGCAGGGGTGGCCAAACTGTGGCTCGCGAGCCGCATGCGGCTCTTCAAGAGTCTTCTTGTAGCTAGTTGAGCCACAACAAAACACAAATACGAAGAGAAGATAAATCCCAGATTGGGATCGTATTTACTTAATATCACAATGTATACATATCTGTGCGACAATTTGTATTTTGTTAAAGTGTTTTAAAAGTTTTTATAAAATTGCTTCTTAGTGCGTTCCTTTAACGTCGTCGCAGTTTTTTGCAATTTTTTTATTTTCTGAAATATCTATCTTTGTTGAAATAATAAACAGTAACGAAATAGCATCGTTACACATTGCGTTGCAATAAAATTAATCAGTGAATAAAAGTGGATATTTAAATTAATACAACAAAATGGTTTCGCTGTACCCTTTCTGGATTCCAAGCCTTTATTCATATAGCTACATATCTGGTATAAAATTTATAAGTTTCTATACCATCGTAATGTCTATTATTTTCATGAATTTTACCATGTACTATATAACACGTATAAACTCAAGGCGTCACTACAATCCATTGTATGAAGTTATTAGTAGGCCTAGTAAGTCTCTCATTGTTGTAATTATATTATTTTAATGTGTTTATTTGTATGTAGCTTTGAATAGAATTATGGATAGGATTTTGATATTCATATTTTTACTCATAGTGTCATCTTGTTACTTAATTATGGGTGTGAATCTTAAGATTCGTAGTTTAATGATCCCATGGATGGTATTTTTTGGGTTTGTTGTTTCTTTCCAATTGATTATTCTATTATGGCAGCTTGAATTCTATTTTATGGGTGTAAGTATAAACATATCAGCAACTTATTTCATATACTAATTACCTAATTTTAGTTTCACAACCTGACTGGAACACTAATTAATTTTATTTGGATAACAAAGAACGTAAGTGTGTAATAAATTTCATTAAGTATACAAACTGATTTGTACTCATTAAATTTAGATTCACTGCTGGATTGTTGTTTATTCAAAGTTCAAATTTATTGGACTTATCCCAACACCTAATATTGAAATATTTTCTTAATTCAATAGAAATTAAGTTAGCATTGACGCTGACCTTAGTACAGTTTGACTACGAAAATGTTAGAGATTTTAAAATGTTTTGTCCAATGGAAATAAATTATATATATTATTTATATTTGTTCATAAAAAATATGTTTTATAATCATTCCTGTATTAATCTAGATTACTTGACAAATAAAACAACGTTTATTAATTATACTTTTCTAACAATATTTCAAGTGTCAGACAAATTTGTTTTCCGGGATTTTCCCAATATAGGACAAATTTTTATATTTATCGAAACTTGTAAAATAAAGTGTCCTGTGCTTTAACATTTGTTGTCCATTACTTATTAATTAAATTAAAAAATATTTTATAGACAACCAAGCAAGCATCTAATAGGTAATTTTTAAGGGACTGATTCAAATAATTTATTAAATTCATTAGTAATAATACTTTGAGATAATATAAAAATTATATTTATGAAGAGCACTGGTGTCCAACTCTAGTAACTATAAGAAAATTATTTTGTTCATTTGTTGGCTGCAGTGTAACTGAGATCGTCAATAATCGCTTATTTCAGGCATTTCAGTGCGTTTCAGATTTTCAGACATTTACTGCAGTTACGAATGTTTTTTTAAATATTGAATTCTTCGCATAGTTGACGAAAATATGGCAAGCAAATTGCATGATGACATTCCATTAGCCGACGACGATCCGCAAGGTAAATGAATATTCAATTTATTATCCTATAACTATATCTTGTTTATTTGCAGTGATTATATCTGATGAGACTGAAGCAGCTTCAACATATTCCAGTATGATGCATGGACAAAGTATGGATTCTATACAGTCATCATTTACAAATGGCAGTTCGAGTCCACAGCACCATAGCTTGGAAGCAGACTGTAGCCCAGATGAGGTGGAGGAGAAGGCCAGACTAATATCACAAGTTCTAGAGCTACAGAACACTTTGGATGATCTCTCTCAGAGGGTTGACAATGTGAAGGAAGAGAATCTTAAACTGAAATCTGAGAATCAGGTTTTGGGACAGTACATTGAAAATCTCACATCTGCATCTAGTGTATTCTCATCAACACCCAAAGTTAAGAAGAAATAGATGATGGACTGTCTACACTGACATTCTCAATGAAATTGAAAATGTAGCAGATCAAAGAAGGAATGCTTTTATTCAATTCTAGTCTTTAAATTTAATTTCATTTGTTGAAAAAATATGCATGATTCATTTGTTAAATCAAACATTCACATTTTTTTGTAAACTTGAGCTTAATTCAACCTTCTTCTACACTTAGCTTGTACCCTGCACAATTTCTCTAGTTTCTGGAAAAACATCAAAGGATTTATGGTACAAATAACAAAGATCTAAGAATACATTCAATATTGAAACTTGGGCTTGAGCTTTAACTTGGAGTTAAAATGTTTTTTTTTTCGTATTTAATATATAATAAATAAATTTTCAATGTAATCAACTGCATTAGATTGAAAATAAATATTTTTAAACTGATCTAAAAAAATGTAAATAAAGCTAACAAAAAAATCTGTCTTTTTGCACCTTTCTACACATTATTGTCTAAACAATATTTAATTTGATAATGTATAATGTATTAATAATAAAATGAGTTTATGAGGACAAGTTATATTATTTTCATATTATTTTTTAATCACGTCCTACTCTGATGTGCGTGAGCGTTACCATGGTAACGCTGCTAACCGTAGCTATCCAACAAAGAACTTACTGCACGTCTACCCTTCAACCTCAGTACAGTCGGTCCATGAAGATTAATTGAAAAAAATAATAGGAGCTGGTGAAAGATTGAGATGGCTAGTCAACCTCAAGACGATATTATATTAGCCGATAATGATCCAGAAGGTAAGGTTTAAAAGTATATTACACATGTCTTCAACTATCTACCTTTTACAGTTATCATCCCTGATGAAGACGAGGAGCCGGAATCTCCTATGCCTGGTTTAAAGCAAAGTTCAAGTATGGAATCAGTTCATTCATCTTGCACAAATGACAGTGATAGTCCTGAGGAGTTTGATCGGGAGATGGACTGTACTTTAGATCAGAGGAAGGAAACAGCACGACTGATCCAGCAGATTCTAGAGTTACAAAATACTTTGGATGATCTCTCCAAAAGACTTGACCAAATCAAGGTGGAGAATCTCAGATTAAAATCTGAAAATATGGTGTTGAATCAATACATTGAGAATTTGATGTCGGCCACCAGTGTGTTCAACAACACACAAAAGGCTAAGAAGAAGTAAACAGTTATTAATAATGATTCCATTTAAATCTAGTCATTATACTTTTAAATTTAGTTTTTTTAAAACTAAAATATTCTGACAAATACTATTTACTTTAATGAATCTTTATATATATATTATTTTGTCAGATGTGAATTCGAATTTATTGTGCTAAATACCTCACATATAATTGTCTGGTCAATGAGTATGAACAGGCTCAACTGCAAAGAATTATCTTAAATTTATATATTGGAATAAAATTATTTATATTTCATGCAGAAAAAGATGTTTGCAGTTGTATATAAGTTTTTCTATATACAATGGAACCTCGCTTAACGAGTTTAATCCGTTCCAAAATTTCCGGATTTTTACTATTATTGTGAAACATATTCAAAAATACACATAATATGTGTATACAAGTTTTAAAAATGATGTAGCTAGCGCGCAATGCGAGACTTCTCTTCTTATCGTCACTCGTTATGCGAATCGTTGCTCGTTAAGCGAGGTTTCACTGTATATATATATATATATATTTATTATTTTATATTTTATGTACATATTTTTGTATTCAGTGCAATACAGATTTTCTGTAGTGCATTAAAAATGCTCTACAGGCTTTAAATATAAATTGTTCTCTAAAGAGACAAATATTTGTTAGAAACATATAATTATATTGATGCAAATAAAATAAAATAATAATAGAATTAGGAAGTCAAGAATGAAAAATTTACCCTTTATATTACCAATTAAAAACAGTTAAATTAGTTTAGTCTTTTCAGTTTGTATACAATATCTTAATATATATGATAAACTTCTCATGTATTGAGAAATCAAAGATATTGAAATTAAAGCTTTCTTTAATTTATATTTTTCTAAATCATTTATACCACAGATATGTTATGAGCATCGTTCAAAGTGAAATATTAAAAAAAATGTTTTTTTTGGCTATCTACCAATATCTTTCTACATAGAGAAATAAAATTTTATTTATTAAACAAAATTTGTATCATTTTTGCTCTGACTAATTTTCGTCCAATTAGTTCTTGTCTGCTTTTATCCTATTTTCATCGTAATTATTGTACTTACTAATTAATTATTTTAAGAATATTAGTGGTGCTATTTTGAATGTTAATTGGATTATTTATTAACTTATAATTAGCGTTAGATGTATAGAAAGTTGTATATATCCATTCATGTTCATAGTAGAAAAAATGGGAGAAGAATAATGTAGATGTCGTTACTGTTTAATGTGTTTTCTTTCGTTATTCATAAAGAAAGTGGAGAGGTGTGGCAAGAATTGTTAGTATTTGACCATTTAATTTCATTTCAGTTTGGTATATCTTTAATTGTGTACGTGTAATCAAAAGTATTCTAAATATATTATATAAAATGAGAGGAATAATATTCATACTTTTTCTGGTGTCCATGAATGTCTGTAAGTAGAGATAAGATAGGAATGTTTACTAATAAACAGATCCCAAATAAACATAGTTTATTTATCAATGTAGGTTTGGGGCTGGAATGCTATGTGTGTCAAAATCAAGAAATAAACCAAGGGAAGTGTGTGAAAACAATAAAGACCTGTGAGCAGGGTGAAGATGTTTGTTTGACTGAAATTAGATGGGGAAGCACACCGTACTGGCAGCAAGGTGCATTGAAACAATTTTACATCTCGAAAGGTTGTTCAACAAAGGATAAGTGCCAAAGATACAGGGAAAGCAACATGCGCCTGTGCACTAATATTTGGTATGAGGATTGGAAATGCTCAGAATGCTGTAAAGGGGATAAATGCAATTATTACATTATTGTAAGTGTGTATTAAAATTTAATTAAATTATTATTAATTCATTTTCATTATTTCAGTCTGGTGCCTTATCAAATTCAATAGGATTGTGGACAATCCTTTTCAGTTCAATTGCAGTTAAATTTTTAAGATAAATACAATATATTGTTTTTATTGTAAATAATAGTTTCTATATTTGTGAGGAAGTTACAACTGAACATCAACTATGACATTCTTCAGCTGTCTTGATGTGTATAGTCTTAAGACTTATTACTCTAACAATCTATGTTTCACTTAGTATTATTTGATTTATCATACGATGGCAAATAGTCAGACTAATGACCATTTTTAATATGTGTTATTTAAGAACTGCAACCTGTCAAATATTAATATTGTAAATAATTTAAAGTGATATTTGTTTTGTACAAAAAAATCGGAATCCGTCCAATGCATTCCAGAGAGAATAGTATTTTTGACATTTTACATTTTTTTAATAAATGAAATAATCCAAATATAAATATTTAACTATTTCTATACAACATTTTATTTTAAAATTTACATTTCAGGATCTATATTTGTCATTAATTGGTTCTTTATGGATGGGTGGGTAATATAATGACGAATATTGTTTTATGATACAAAGTAGTATTTCATGATACAAAATATGACAAATATTGGACTTGAGAAAGTTAGGGACTAACGAATATGGATTCCGCTACTATATTTGGACTGAAGGATTCATTTCAATAGTTTACTTTGTAAATGTGTATAAGTCATAAGATACACCATTTTATATAAAGGTATCCAGTTGGAATTTGGATGCAACTTGTTTGTTTGGTGGATTCCCACGAGAAACACGAATGCTACTGAAGATAATTTAGTTTTTGAAGGAGTGATAAATGGTGTATAGACAATATAAAAAGTGTCATTAAAGAAGGATGATAGTGCCGAGATGTGTAAAGATGAACTGAATCCCTATGATTTTGAAAAAAAATGTTAGAAAGGTATGTGTTTCTTATATAATATATTTATTATTAAATAATACAGTGGATTCTCGCTTAATGAGCAAAATTAATTGAAAGAAAAATGACTCGCTTAACAAGCGACGTTTCGCATGACGAGTGACTTGTGTACACATATGTGAATATGTTTCACTATAGAGTAAAAATCCGAAAATTTTGGAACAGATTAAACTCGTTAAGCGAGGTTCCACTGTATTAATATTTATTGCAACAACCATAATAATACAAATTTAAAAAAAATATGTAAGAAAAATAAAACTAAATTGATTTGTTGCAAAAGGCTACTTTTAATTATTTGTAAAAACAATATTCCAATTCGAGACAAATTATTTTTGTTACACAAAGCGGGTTATTTGATAATTTTGCTATTCTTGTACAATTATAAAAGTACTGAAAAACATTTTTATTTTACTGAATTAAAATTTTGTTTGTATTGAAATTTTCAAACCGGACTATAGTGAATCCGGACTGATGAAAGCAGCACTGTTGGAGGTATTGCTGTATATCTTTAGAATTATTAAAAAAATTCACAAAAATATATATGTTTATCTTGAATGGTAAACAACTTTTCCAATTTGTTGTTGCTAAGTTTATTGTGGATTTGAGGGTTTTCTTTATTGTTATTGTTCAACGTCTGGTACCAAAAATTCCGGTTTGATCGTCTGTTATATGTTCACTTATTTTTTTTATATATTATACAAACAATATTCATCCGATTCATTAATTTACTTACATCTGTTTTTTTATAATTTTGTTATATTATTAAGATTTATGATATTTAATATTAGTAAATTTATTAGCAAAATGAATGATAAAAAAAATGTCTCGATGAGAAGGGAAGTCCCAGATTTCTAAAACTTGTGTACTCATGTGTGTATTTTTGAATATGTTTCACTATACGAGTAAAAATCCGAAAATTTTGGAACGGATTAAACTCATAAGAGTATATTGTATATTTATTTTTACTACTTTTTTTCTATTGGTCAATATGAATATCAACAGAGATTTATTTACTTGTCACCACATAATATTATTAATGTTCTTTTGCAACGAGTAGCAATTTATATTATTTTATTATATCCGCTTTCTTCAACAGAATATTTCGAGTTGATGAAAATTTGCAAGTACGTGCTAGAATCATTAATGGCGCCAACGCTATGGAATTGCAGTAGGCGTTGATTACATCATTACATACAAATGTTACATAAGAAAACATCTTAGCCTCGATAATCTCTCAGACATTGTGTTCTTCTAAATATTTCTTGATTATCAATATTCTTCTGCTGTTTAATTCATTTTCATCGTCCAGTACTTAACGTTATAAGCTTATTACATCTCAACAATTGTAATTTTTATGTAATATATTTTCAAATATTTATCCCGAGAAGAGGTTCGTGACCTTGACTTGAAAGGATCAATAGTTCAAAAAAAAATGTTCGAAGACTTAGTGCATGCAATTTATCCATTTACGTGTAACTCGCTTTTCGATGAGCACGACATTTGGCTCATAATGTGTTTACTTTGAGATTATCTATTTGTGTTATTATCTAAAATATTTGGACACGTTAATTGAAATTTGAATTATCGTGGATAATTATTTTTTTCTCTTATGAAATAATCGTCTCTAGCATGCGACAAATATGAAGTTTAACTGTGCAATTAATAAATGTGTAAAAAGCATTGACATTACTAATGTAGTATAGGTCGATAGGGAAAATGCCAACGCTGTGGGAAATGATGCACACAGTTTGGAATGCTTGGATAAAAGGTTAAATCACAAGACAGGAGAATTGAGGATTGTGCAAAGAAACCATAATATATAGCAGGGGTGGCCAAACTGTGGATTGCGAGCCGCATGCGGCTCTTCAATAATTTTGTTGAGCCATAACAAAACACAAATATTGTATATATTCTATATTTTTTTAAAATTATTATACCAAAAATTTTATGTGCGGCTCTCAATAAGTTGCGGCTTGCTGCAAAAAGTCTGGCCACTCCTGATATATACTGAAGTAAAGGATAAACAATCATACCATGGAACAGCTAAATTTTATAATGATTTTTAATAGATGATTTTTACGAATTTCGATTTGAACCTTCTGCTTTAGGAATTAATACTCAGTGCCTAAGAAATCACATTCAAATATCAATTGGTACAAATTTTTTCACTAGGTGGCGATACTGCTCTGAAGTGTTTACGTTACATCTTTAAACTATAGTAACATCAGATACGATTGACTACTTTACCCGTAATACTATTACGTTTGTTTTCTAAGTGGTAAGTAAACGTAACCTTGGACTCATTAATAAAATCCGAAAGATCAGAAGTGCAATTCAATCAATGATTCTTTCCAGGTATAAAAACCAAAAAGGAAATTGAAATATTCCACTTGTCTGCAACGCATATATGTTTCGTTGTTTCAAATGATTTTGATCAATAATCAAGGACATTTCTCCAGCCTTTTTCGACTTGATGCAATTTGTTGATAATAAATGTATTACGTAGGCAAATAATTTCTGTAGTCTTGCGTAACTACTCTGCATTACGGGCATAAATAATAGCTGATTGAAAAGAGTATAGTTTTTTGCTTGTCGATTGCTTTGTCACAATAATTATTCCTCGTGACTCGACATTTTTGTTTATTGAAGCAAATATCAGTAGCAAAAATACAAATTTTTCTTCAAATAAACACCAAGATTAAAAAAAAATAATTATAATAATACAGGAAATCCTTAACTTAACAAAAAGTGTAAAGTCACATTATTTCAACACTTGCATAATATTTTAATATCTTAAGATACATTTCTAAACCATATTCAATCTATTTTTCACCTAATTAGTAATATACATAAACTGATATTGTTTCTACAAACTAATTAATTTTCTCTGTTCAAGAAATAGGATTAAATGTTTATTTATAAGAAATTACGTAAAAGGAAAATCTCATTTCATACTAAATAAATTTTGAAATAATTGCAAGACTTTCATGCAAATAATTGGAAAATGTAATTATTTTTTGACGACTTCTTAATTTGAAAAATTAATTATACTGTAATTATTTTAATATTTATAAAGGAGTTATGTGTTTCTGGAAATGACCTTTACACGAGGCAATTTCTCCAAAGCAATGGATAACAAAGAAAAAGGCACTCGTTGTTGTTACGAACGTTATTTTTAAACAACCTTTTCTTTTGTAAACTGACATTAAATAGAGTTACGTAAATAAGTAATTTTTTAATAAAATATAGATTTTTTTTGTCAGGAAAAAGGCCAATGACTATGGCGTTTTTCACAAGGTCAAATAAGTAGATTTAGAAAAGAAAACACGCGTATGTTTAATAACTATTGGATTTGATTCATGTCAAAGGTCAGGTGATATATTTATTTATCAACAACTCAGGTTTATATATAATTTTTTGTAAGAAATTTTTGTATTCGCTTCTACTTATATCATTGATAAATAAAAAAAACATGAGCAAAAATAAGTGTGCTTTGTATTGCAACATGCTTATTTGCTAATTCACACGGTAATTATCAATTAACAATTAATTTCAGCATCGGCATTTTTGTTCATTTAATTATGGTCAAAAAAGATATGATTGAAGCACGTCGTAAATAAATGCATGCCATTTTCAACAGTCACTGTAAAAATGGTTTTTATCATTCATATGCAACAACACATCCTGTTTTGTCATTGTTTTCCAAATACGGTGTCTGCAGTATTCAATTATATAATTTTATTCATTAACAAAAAACAATTAGTTAGATTATTGATGTAGATCTGTAATGCAAAACGTATATTTTTTTATATATATTAGTATTTGCAGAAAATACTATCTTATATCTGATTAGATAACATCAAAAAAATGCGACAGAGAAACGATCTATTATAATATCATTGAATTATTATTATTACATGAATAAATAATTTAGAAAACCTATATTACTGTTAATTGGAAAAATTAATTATCTGTAATCCACTAATTAAGAATTGCGGAGTTGTATTTTCTTAAAATTAAGCTAAAATCGAAGAGACTTACAAATTTTGTATGGATATCTACCATTCTAGAAAAATGGAATAGATTATAAAAACGCTTTCTTTACGTAATTATTATAGATATTATATGCAATGCAACTCAAACTTATTTTTCACTACGGTACTATTAGAAATGTTATGTTTTTAATAGATATAATATTTTTTTGTTGAAATTATCAAGATGAAAATCAAAGATAATCTTAATTCACATAATAATTTTGTATTATCTTATCACGTAACTGTATATTTTTATTGAAATATATATATATATAAAATAAATATTCGATATTAAAAATTAACAAAACTTTCACATTTCATTATATATAAAAGGAAAAATGATTTATAAAACAATATTGTTAAGTAGTTATGTAATTATTAAAAATTATGTGTATCACTAAAATTAATCGAAATATTCAAATAAAAGTCGTTATCAATTATTTGCACTTCAGTGATAAAACTTTGTGCTCCTCGCATTTATTTTTTTGTTTTAATATTTCGCCATGATTATTGCTTATTACGTAATTTTGTTATTTTTTTTTGCATTATAGTGGAGGATGATTGGTGATTTTATTATCAATTATATTAATAGGTTAGATAGGTGATAAATTTAGATATGCCTTTTCCAAAAAATCACTTTTATTTTACAGTTATTTCAAATTGGATTTATATAATGTAAAGAAATTTTGTGTTTTATTGTTGAAATTATACTTTAATACGTTACAGCAATTACTTGCAATATACCGTACAGGACTGTTTGAAACCGGACTATCAAGGAACTAAATAAAATATAAATAAACCACACAAAAAGATATCAGACTATGGATCAATATATTGTTTTTACTAAATTGAATATAAAAATCAATCGGTAAATTAAATTGGGATGAAAATAAGTAAATATGTAAAATAAATAAGAACGCCTTTACTGATGAAAACAAATCCTTTTAATATACGGTATCGCATAACAGCACGATTTACTACAGCCCAGTACAACCGTTATTCGAGTGACTACAATTTCATACGTTACTAAATTATGTTAAATGGTTATTTTAAATTAAATTTTAAAAAATGATCGGTCTATAATCATATGTTAATTATTCAATATTTTTTTAAATTAATGTTATAAAAAAAATACTAATAATTGATGATATTTGAAAATAGTATAAAATTGTGGACATGTTTAACGTTGCTGGTGGTGTTATCATACATATAGGGTGTGATGATCCATATGTCCCGAGAGTATTGATTCTTGAGGAATTCCAGCTGATGGATGAAGAATGAGGGTTATCGATTACTTCATATTCTAGGAATTGTCTCATATTCTAGGAATTTTAGAAATGTATATAGTACAAAAATTCTAATGCACAAAGTAAGTAAACAACTTTTGTGCCGCCAAATTTTGAAATCGTTAAAAGTGTGCCACGACAAAATTTTGAGAATCAAAGGGTTCATCAAAGGGTTATACTTTGATGAAAAATGGGCTAATAAATTAACTTAATTACTATATATTAAATGAAGAGAACCATCAAATTTTTCAATATCGCATGAAAACATTACTAATGACACAATCGCATGTTCCAAATATTTCTAATTCTGTAAACTCTAATAAAGAGCCAGGACACTACTTTGAGTAATTAAACGATGTAAAGACACGAATTGGTTTTGGCGAAGTCCTCGATTCTATGGCACGATTTGGCATTAGTTACTTTCATTTACATGTTTTATTGACAAAAATTGATTAATGTATATATTATATAATTTTATTTAGATACTGATAATCGTTACTACAAAATATTTGCTAATAACGATAACAGATTTTCATAAAAAATAATCTTTTTATATTTCCATTTCCAACAATTTTACACTTAAATTTTAGAAATCGTGAATATCAAAGATTATTTATTACCATAACAATAATATTGTCGATGATATTTGTAACAACGTGTGTGATGTATTTTGTTCTTCGTCAGAATGTGGAACAATTGTAAGTTAAAATTCAGACTTAATAATTAAAGGGGACGCGTTTGTGGTGTATATAAAAATCGGATTGAACGAAGTCCATTCAGTCTGCGACCCACCGTTGACGCGTGTTTGTTATTTCAAATATTCAATACATTATTTTGTGTATTTTGTTGTAAATTCTTATTTTTATCTCTTATTCTCGTTGAGGTTTATTAACATATATAGTTTTTGTCATCGAAAGGCGATTTCCAATTGAAAGCTGATTTTACCGCACGCAACTAATAGTGAGAGTGGATTCTGGGTGTTTTCGATTAGCAAGGATGTCTCTGGTGAGTTATTTTCTTTCGCACTTCCGGTTCGCACGCGGATTTGGTTTTGGACGCTGATAACTGTTCGTCGTAAATAAGTTTGTTTGTCTGCGGTAATTTATCAGAGTAGTCTAACTGCCGCCACCTAATTAGAACGATCCCATAACAGTTTTTAGTTGTAATTCTTCTATAAGAAGTCCAAATTTTAAAAAGTTACTTTGGCCAGCATCTTGAAGGTTCGCAAAACAAAATCATTATTTTTAATTCAGTCTCGAAATCCGACGCGGGTTTTACGGCTGTCCGAGAGGTGGGGCTTTCCCAGATAGTCCTCTCAATTGGATATCAGGGAATAGATAAAGGGACCTTCTCGATCGGGGAAAAGGAAAATCCTGCCAGCGAAATTTCGATAAGTAGTCATGCGCGTTGAAAATTAAATGATATAAAACCGCTGATATGACGAGAGGGGAACACTCGTTTTCTTGATTAGTATGAACTGTGTGACGTTCACGGCAGTTTTGTGAATACGACCGAGAAGTGAAGTTGACCTACTCGTGCCTACTTACTTTCCAATTCTTCCAACTTGTATTAAGACTTGTATAAAATCGTTACAGGGTCTCTCGAAGCAACTGACGAGGCTACAGCAAGTTTCTCAGTACCGTAAGTCGCGTTACGTAACTGTTATATAATGAGAGTTCTTTAATATTGACTCTTATTTTCTTTTGCACATATAGAAATAACGAAGAACTATACAACTATGCCTTGTCCCTTTTTGACAAAGCTCACCACAGCTTATGTGAGGAATTATGGACCGACTTTATTGAAAACTTTCGGAAGTCAGTGCCCAGTTATGTCGCACTCAATCAGCAACATGACTCCAGCCAGCCAAGGTAAGAAAACACCGCGAAAATAGTAATTTGATATTAACGAAGCACCGTCGCATTTATTAGAACAGGTGGAACCGGATAACGTTGGTACCAAGAAATGTCCATTCTTGAATGAAGTTCCTGATATGGTGAAGGAGGCTAGCCATGAAGACATCATTGAATTAGATTCAAAGCCGTCTAATGGTATTAGTTCATAAAACGACTGTCGTGTCCTCAATTAAATTGGATTTCCCTTTTAGATGTATTCCAATATGATCAGTTTTTCCACCAACAAATTCTGAAGAAAAAGACAGATCATTCTTATAGAATCTTTAAGAAGGTGAACCGTTTGGCCGGTCCTGGTCAATTTCCCAAGGCAGTGGAGTACTCTTGGGGCGAAAGGCCGATTACCGTCTGGTGCTCAAATGATTATTTGGGCATGTCATGTCATCCAGAGGTCAAAAAAGCGGTGCGTACCGCGCTTGATAAATACGGTGCTGGTGCTGGTGGTACCAGGAATATATCAGGGAATTCAATCTACCACGAAAAACTTGAAAATATTCTAGCCGCGTTGCACCAAAAGGAAGGAGCATTGTTATTCACTTCCTGTTTTGTTGCCAACGATTCAACCTTGTTTACCTTGGCGAAAGCACTACCAGGTGTTTATTACTGAAAAGTAATAGTTTGGGTAGAAAGTTAATATTGGATATTTGTAGGTTGTCATATTTTCTCGGACGAAGGTAATCACGCTTCCATGATTCAAGGAATTCGTAATAGTAAAGTACCCAAGCACATCTTCCGCCATAATGATCCTAAGCATTTAGAGGAACTTCTGAAGTCTGTAGACGTCAACGTACCGAAGATTGTTGCTTTCGAAACCGTGCATTCCATGACCGGCGCCGTCTGCCCCCTAGAAGTAATAAAGACCCAAGTTAATCAAGGAAAGCTGTTACTAAATTTGTTATAATTTAAGGAATTATGCGAAATCGCCCACAAGTACGGAGCGTTAACTTTTGTAGATGAGGTTCACGCTGTTGGACTCTATGGAAACCACGGAGCGGGCATCGGTGAAAGAGATAACCAATTGCATAATATGGATATAATATCAGGTACATTGGGTAAGGCCTTCGGTAACGTGGGTGGCTATATAGCTGGAAGTGCGTCTCTGGTGGACATGATTAGATCGTACGCAGCCGGTTTTATATTCACCACTTCACTACCACCAACGGTGTTGGCTGGTGCCGTTAAGGCTATCGAAGTATTGGCATCCGAAGAAGGTAGAGAGCTAAGAGCGCGTCACCAGGAAAATGTAAAATACCTAAGAAACACGTTACTTAGACACGGTTTCCCGGTAGAGCACACCCCTAGCCACATTATCCCAATTAAAATCGGTAACCCTCAACAATGCACCCAAGTCTCGGATATGCTGATTAAGCAAAAAGGTCATTACGTCCAAGCAATTAATTATCCGACGGTCGCGAGAGGCCAGGAGAAACTGCGGTTGGCTCCGACGCCTCATCACACCAAAGAGCTTATGGATTTGCTCGTCTCGGATTTACAAGAAATCTGGATCAATCTAGGACTTCCATTCACCGGCCTGCAATGTAGCAAAGTAGGTTATAATAGTATATAATCTAAACCATACATAATTTCTGACGTTTTTAGGAATGCAACTTTTGCAATAAATCTATTTTGTTCGACTACTTCGAAGCTCGCACCAGAAAGTGTTCTAATAATATAATTTGTGATATACCGAATTGCCCGCAAATGGTAGCTGCTCTCTAAGTTATCAAACATATTGTGCAACCTGTCTAAGCAATAGATAGATTTCGTATATTTATGTGTATACACATATTTAAATAGATACACGTACACAAAAGGTGAAGGCAGAATACATAAATATATAAAGCAAATTATTTATATTTTATTTTAAATACACAAAAACTAATATGTATATTCCTATGCAGAAAAATAATGGTCTATAGCCCCTTACGCAATATGTACTATTGTGTGCTAATAAAGAAACTATTTATTTATTTATATTTTTAGTTCATTAATATTTATGAAAGTTCATATCGTTTTAACGATTTCGAATAACTAACATTTATTTCCACTTACATGTCAATTTGGTCTTCCAGCTAAATCTTCTGTACATTAATTGAATGGTAAAATAAAGACGTATTATTTAGATGATTTCACTTCTTTCTTGAGTCAGGTTTTAAGTTGATTAAGTTGGTAAATTGGATTCCAAATATATATATATTCAGTAGAAAGCAGAGATTGCTAAACATGTTGGAAAATATTAAGATGTGTATTTGTCAATGAATATTTTATTTGATATTAAGATTAATTTACACCGATTATCACGAAAATCTGATACGAAAGGCCGTTGGTTCGATTCTAAAAAATCAACAAAATTTGTGCAGCCAATAAACCCGAAAAGGGGTAGAAATATATCAATAATAAATTGATATAAATCTCTTTTATATAACAAAAAGATTAATTTACATTTAATTGAAGCAATGAAATCTTTACATTACAATATAATATAAATAACATAAGTATTACAAGAAGTAGCGGTTGTATCAGTTATGAGTTGTATTTGTACTTGATAGACATGTAACGTATGTAACTGAAGTATTTTGAGGGTTGCCTAAATTACTCTTAGTTGGCATTAGTGCTCACTCCCTTTATCCTTCATATATATTGATGTTGTGGTTGTGAAGTGTTGTAATTTTAGGTTACCCAATTTGTTTATTTTGGATCTGGGTAGTTGTAAACAGTAGTATTGGGAGGATCTATGTAAGATGACTAAATATGCACCGGAAATACTTATTCTGTAATTAACATTTTGTAAGTAATCAGATCTTGTGACTGTACTGTAAAATCCTCATTTCAGCTCAATATTTGTATCTTCGGCCTCACTCCTGCTGCTCATCAATAAAGCTGTCTACAGTCCAGAATTATTACAAAATGTAGCCCCAGAATACAGCTGGCTAATTGATGGTTTCATCAACTTGCTGTGCTACTCCACAATACTGATACCAGGTTACTTAGTATATAAATACATTAAGAAAATCAACTACTTAGATAAAGCAGGTATTTCTTTACGACAATAACTAAAAGTTGTAACTAATAAATATTGTTTTTGATTTTAGTTGGAAACAATTGCATTGTTACATTGATACAAAAGTGCTTTCAAGAGGATGAAAGTCTAGATAGAACAGTCTCAGCTACACAAACTGCCTCACAAAGAACTGAATGTAATACTGCAATACGTCTGTTATTCTATTTTGTATGTCTTCAGCTGTCTTTGGTGTCTTGGGGTGTTCTACAAGAAAAAGTTACTCATGTATGTTAAAATAAGACTTATTTATTTCTGTCTGCATATTTCAGATTCATATATAGTAGAAATTGAAAAGAGAAACAAACGCAATATTAAATTTAAAGCGTTTAATTTCCTTTTTGAACGGTTCTAAAAATCAAATTCTTATTTTTGTTGAATTCGATTCGTTAAATCAGAATTGCTTAAGTCAGTGCAATTAATTTATATTTGTTTATTTCTTTTTAGGAGTATGTGAATGAGAAGAAAGAAGTTGGCGTGTTTAAAGACTCGCAATTTTTAGTGTTCATTAATAGGATTCTTGCTTTTACTATATCTGGAATTGTTATGTGTTTGCGCAGACAGCCAAGACATAAGTGTCCTATGTACAAATATGTTTTTTGTTCTCTATCAAATATTTTAAGTTCCTGGTGTCAATATGAAGCTCTCAAATACGTGTCTTTCCTTCATCAAGTAAATATTTAATAATATATTGTTATATAATAGTAATTTCATTGTGGTTTAGGTACTAGCCAAAGCGGCAAAAACAATCCCTGTTATGATTATGGGTCGAATTGTATCACGGACGAAGTATGAAAAGTACGAATATATAACAGCGTGCGTCCTATCTGCTGGAATGTTATTCTTTATGTGGGATACAGGGAATGACAAAGGTTGTTATTTGCTTCTTAAATTGATCTCAACACGTTAAAATTGACATGACATCATTTTTCTTCTAGATACATCCACCTCAATAACTACATTCTCTGGTGCAATCCTTCTTTGCTCGTATATTGCGTTCGACAGTTTTACTACAAATTGGCAAGGTGCTCTCTATACCCAATATTCCATGACACCGATTCAGATGATGTGCGCGGTGAACTTATTCTCCTGCTGTTTTACAGCAGTTTCGTTATTCCAACAAGGAAGTTTCATACACTCATTAAATTTTATGATCAAATTCCCAAGGTTCATAGTTGACTGTGTTCTGTTATCTATTTGTTCCGCGGTCGGCCAACTCTTCATTTACAGTACCATCGCAGACTTCGGTCCTCTGGTCTTTGCCATCATTTCTACGATCCGACAAGGATTCTCTGTAATAATGAGTTGCATACTGTTTGAACATGAGGTGCATTCGTTAGGTATATTCGGACTATTTCTTGTTTTCCTTAGTCTTTTCTTTAGGATCTACTGTTCACATAGAAGCAAAGTTCTACGGAAGCGCGCTCGAATCAATAACGAAAGTATCAAACATTAGATACTGTAAGGATAACATTTTAAAACATTGTATATAATTTAACTAAAATTAATTATTTTCACAATATATATATATAAAAATATAATATTTTACAGGGTACATTTGGGATTGTGTTAATATTGATTTCTCCTGTTTCAAATTATTTGGATAATTTAGCATTGTTTTTCCAATCAGATTTGATTCGACTTTATACATTTTTTTAAACACATATTTATTTTAGTTTGGAAATGTTGGCTACAACTTAATTTTTTATAAACATATACGTGCGATTCACAATTTTGTATGATATTTTACACTTAAAAACATCCCCGAATATGTGACTACATTATTTGTTCACTAAAAGATATTAACATTTAGTATTCCATACGAGGACTTGTTTTGGAATAAATGGAATGTTAGTTGTTATTTATATGGTACTAATACTATTTATTGGACGTTAAATATATGGATTTTTGTTGATTTTTTCCAATTTATTTTGTAGAATAATATTTTCTCTTGTTTTATTCCAAAAGCTTACGTTAAACGAATTTTCTTCAAACGCATTATCAATTTTATTGAAGTAAAGTAAAATAAAACTATTATCTTTTCTAATACTTAACACTTGCTCTCTTTTTTCAGTAATAGCAGTATTCGAACGCATTATACGAGCAAAAGCGTATAACTTAAAATAATTGTAGTTCATGCAACTGCTTCTTCCATTTCTTAATGCATCAAATTGCACGCCCTGACAAACTTTTAAAGTAAAAACCTACTTATTTAAACACATTTATTATAAATAAAATCAATAAAAAAAAGATATTTTTTACAGATATATTCAAGTAAAACATTTCATACTAGATTATAAAACATGTGTCATATAACAAGATTTCTATTTTAATAAGGTGTAGGATTGGTTACATGCACCACAGAGTGCGAGCTTAGTTGCATACTTCCACTTCGTTTAGAGTGTAAGGAACAGAAGAAGAAGAATATATGAAAACAATTTTCACAAATATAAATAAAATAATAGTGTAATTAATTCAAATCAAAGTATTCTATTCTAAAATAGTAAGTAAATATTTGTATTGAGTTCCGAATTCTCTCTTATTTCCTGCCGTATTGAAGATGTCATATCAACTTTTATTGCATACGTTATACATGTAATTGCATGTAACAATTTTGCAGTATCCATTTGATGCCCCCGTCACATACGTTCATTCAATCTAAGTGGAGTCTGTTTGTCGAATAAATCATCATGACTGAAAATACCATCATCGAGGCTTACCATATTACGGAGACGAGGTTAGGTCATCATAATAGGATTGTCCAGCCCTTACTTACTGGTAAAAACAATTATTTAATACTTTCCCGCCATTGGTATACGAAACCCGGTTGCGAATGTTAGTTGCAAAACATACGTTTCGAACCCTCAAATGTTTTCTGATGTTATTAATTTAGTCTTCAGTAAGATAATTCAACTATTATTATTTTTCATCCAGACTTGTATCAGATCACGATGGCGTATGCTTATTGGAAATCCGGAAAGACGAAGGATTTTTCCGTCTTCGATCTGTTCTTTCGGAAAAATCCATTCCAAGGAGAATTTACAATCTTCGCCGGTCTTGAAGAGAGTTTGAAGTTTCTGAAGCGCTTCCACTACTCAGAAAGTGGTAAATGGTTGTTGTGAATGGATGATTATCAGAAAACTAAATGAAAACTGTTTTTCAGATATCGAATATTTGCGGCAGACGCTTCCGGATACAATCGATGATGAATTTTTCGATTACCTGAGCAAATTGAATACCAACGACGTGACTTTATATGCTGTGGAGGAGGGTTCAGTCGTATTTCCTAGGTACTTAGTGTAGACGCACTCTTTATTCGTTTAACGAATAGTTTTCTTCTAGAGTGCCGTTAATGCGCATTGAGGGTCCTTTGATCATAGTCCAACTTTTGGAGACTACATTACTAACACTAGTTAACTATGCTAGGTATGAGTAGAATGAAGACTTTAATAAGAGCGATGATTTGATTTTGGGATATTTTAGTTTGATGGCAACAAATGCAGCTAGGTACAGGATGGCAGCTGGAGATTTAAAATTACTTGAATTTGGATTACGGAGAGCTCAAGGTCCAGACGGTGGTTTATCAGCGTCAAAGTATTCGTATATAGGTGATTACTAATAATGATAACCTTTGGTGAAAGCACAAACATCATTTAAAATGACAAATGAAACACTTGGATTTGGATGAATGCTATGATACACCACTATACACACAATTTTTCCCTTCTTTTGTTTTTGTCGTGTAGGTGGATTTGATGGTACGAGCAATGTGTTAGCTGGGAAACTGTTCAACATTCCGGTGAAGGGCACTCACGCACACTCTTACATCACTTCGTTTACCGACTTGACAGAACTTAAAACATGTATGCTAATACCAAAAGCTGGTGGTGAATTCAGGAATGTTTCTCAGCTAGCTATAAGCTGGAGGCTAAAGCTGACCTCTCTATTCAAAGTAGTCAGCATGGAGGCAAGTGATGGCGAATTGGCTGCCTTCATCTCCTTCGCTGTAGCCTTTCCAGATGGTTTTATGGCACTTGTCGATACGTATGATGTCAAAAGGTATTTCTATCGCTTGATCATAGCTATCGCAATGTGGCCTTACATAAAATACAATTTGATTTTGCAACATAAAATAAGTAATTTTAAAGGACACATTTGAATAAACGACAGAAGATTGGGAATCTTTAAATTTCCAAATTATAAGATCATTTAGTTATGATTGTTTAAGTGGAACAATCTTCGCCTTAAAGAAAATAGTTTGAAGATAAAGTAAATGCGGTAACAAGAAAATAAGAATGCTCTAGGTTGGAATCTAAATTTTGCTTCTAAATTAACAAAGCTTATTTTACAAAACTATATTACATAGTATTTTTTTTTTCTTTGTAGGAGTGGTCTATTGAATTTCTGTGCTGTTGCTTTGGCACTGAATGATTTGGGATATCAGGCGATAGGTATCCGAATCGATAGTGGAGACTTAGCTTATCTATCCAATGTGGCTAGACAATTCTTCTTAGAAATTAGTAAAAAATACGACATCCCTTGGTTTGCCGGACTCACGATCATGGCTTCAAACGATATCAATGAAGAAACAATCCTTAGTTTAAATGATCAAGGACATAAGATCGATTGTTTTGGAATTGGAACCCATTTAGTTACCTGCCAGAGACAACCGGCACTAGGTTGTGTATTTAAAATGGTAGAATTAAATGGACAACCCAGAATGAAACTAAGTCAGGACGTTGGAAAAGTAACCATGCCAGGTCGCAAAGATGTCTATCGTCTGTATAGCGAAAGCGGCGATGCTTTGATCGATCTATTACAAAAGTCTTCGGAGGAAGCTCCACAGGTTAACCAAAAAGTACTTTGTAGACATCCGTTCGAGGAGTCAAAACGCGCTTATGTAACGCCGTCAAAAGTGGAGAAATTATTAAGAATTTACTGGAAGGACGGTCAAATCATAGAACCACTTCCCAACTTATCGGAAATACGAAATAAAGTTCAAGCTTCGCTAAGAACTCTCAGACCGGATATTAAACGAAATTTAAATCCAACGCCATTTAAAGTATGTATATACACTTTTCATGCGAAAGTTATTATTGACTTATTCTTCTTTCTCAGGTAGCTGTTAGTTATAACTTATACAAATTTCTACACGACTTATGGCTGCAGAACGCTCCGATTGGCGAACTTTCATAAACTGAAAAGTTTCCATCTAAATTATATACCATTAAATAAATTATGTAGCCAACAGTTGAAAGTTATTCAAGCTTCAAATAATGAAAGATAGTTTTGGTGTCTTCGAAAGTTAAGGAGAGCGGTGAAACCAAACAAATGCATTTGTCTGTGTTTTACAGTTCAAAAGAAAATTTATTAATCTTAGTTACTAAAATATCTAATAATAATATTATTGTTATAAAATGTAATTGCTTTCTATTAGATGAGATCTTGATATATTAAATATTTTTTTATCAGAATGAGGGTAAATGATTTTATTATTACTACCATTTAAATAAATCTAGCTCTAACTTTATATAGTAAATAAGTATAGTAAATTTGGGTTTCAATTTTAATATAGAATTTAATTTTAATCCCATAGATAAACCAGCGTATGGTAAATCTAGTGGATCAAAACGAGATCCGTAGCATATTCTGTATGAAACAGGTGCAACCTCGTGAAGGTTAAATGCGAACGGTCTTGCATCAATTCAGAGGCTTGTTTTGCGCTTGAATT